TTCGGTTCATACGACACAGGGGGGTCACGGTTCGGTTCGATGTGACACAGTGGTGTCACGGTACGGTTCGGTTCGATGCGACCCAGTGGTGTCATGGTTCGGTTCATACGACACAGGGGGGTCACGGTTCGGTTCGATGTGACACAGTGGTGTCACGGTACGGTTCGGTTCGATGCGACCCAGTGGTGTCATGGTTCGGTTCATACGACACAGGGGGGTCACGGTTCGGTTCGATGTGACACAGTGGTGTCACGGTACGGTTCGGTTCGATGCGACCCAGTGGTGTCATGGTTCGGTTCATACGACACAGGGGGGTCACGGTTCGGTTCGATGTGACACAGTGGTGTCACGGTACGGTTCGGTTCGATGCGACCCAGTGGTGTCATGGTTCGGTTCATACGACACAGGGGGGTCACGGTTCGGTTCGATGTGACACAGTGGTGTCACGGTACGGTTCGGTTCGATGCGACCCAGTGGTGTCATGGTTCGGTTCATACGACACAGGGGGGTCACGGTTCGGTTCGATGTGACACAGTGGTGTCACGGTACGGTTCGGTTCGATGCGACCCAGTGGTGTCATGGTTCGGTTCATACGACACAGGGGGGTCACGGTTCGGTTCGATGTGACACAGTGGTGTCACGGTACGGTTCGGTTCGATGCGACCCAGTGGTGTCATGGTTCGGTTCATACGACACAGGGGGGTCACGGTTCGGTTCGATGTGACACAGTGGTGTCACGGTACGGTTCGGTTCGATGCGACCCAGTGGTGTCATGGTTCGGTTCATACGACACAGGGGGGTCACGGTTCGGTTCGATGTGACACAGTGGTGTCACGGTACGGTTCGGTTCGATGCGACCCAGTGGTGTCATGGTTCGGTTCATACGACACAGGGGGGTCACGGTTCGGTTCGATGTGACACAGTGGTGTCACGGTACGGTTCGGTTCGATGCGACCCAGTGGTGTCATGGTTCGGTTCATACGACACAGGGGGGTCACGGTTCGGTTCGATGTGACACAGTGGTGTCACGGTACGGTTCGGTTCGATGCGACCCAGTGGTGTCATGGTTCGGTTCATACGACACAGGGGGGTCACGGTTCGGTTCGATGTGACACAGTGGTGTCACGGTACGGTTCGGTTCGATGCGACCCAGTGGTGTCATGGTTCGGTTCATACGACACAGGGGGGTCACGGTTCGGTTCGATGTGACACAGTGGTGTCACGGTACGGTTCGGTTCGATGCGACCCAGTGGTGTCATGGTTCGGTTCATACGACACAGGGGGGTCACGGTTCGGTTCGATGTGACACAGTGGTGTCACGGTACGGTTCGGTTCGATGCGACCCAGTGGTGTCATGGTTCGGTTCATACGACACAGGGGGGTCACGGTTCGGTTCGATGTGACACAGTGGTGTCACGGTACGGTTCGGTTCGATGCGACCCAGTGGTGTCATGGTTCGGTTCATACGACACAGGGGGGTCACGGTTCGGTTCGATGTGACACAGTGGTGTCACGGTACGGTTCGGTTCGATGCGACCCAGTGGTGTCATGGTTCGGTTCATACGACACAGGGGGGTCACGGTTCGGTTCGATGTGACACAGTGGTGTCACGGTACGGTTCGGTTCGATGCGACCCAGTGGTGTCATGGTTCGGTTCATACGACACAGGGGGGTCACGGTTCGGTTCGATGTGACACAGTGGTGTCACGGTACGGTTCGGTTCGATGCGACCCAGTGGTGTCATGGTTCGGTTCATACGACACAGGGGGGTCACGGTTCGGTTCGATGTGACACAGTGGTGTCACGGTACGGTTCGGTTCGATGCGACCCAGTGGTGTCATGGTTCGGTTCATACGACACAGGGGGGTCACGGTTCGGTTCGATGTGACACAGTGGTGTCACGGTACGGTTCGGTTCGATGCGACCCAGTGGTGTCATGGTTCGGTTCATACGACACAGGGGGGTCACGGTTCGGTTCGATGTGACACAGTGGTGTCACGGTTCGGTTCGATGCGACACAGTCGTGTCACGGTTCGGTTCATACGACACAGTGGTGTCATGGTACGGTTCATACGACACAGTGGTGTCACGGTTCGGTTCGATGCGACACAGTTCGATACGGGGTAATTGGTTATGTTTGCAATGTTTGAAATATTTTTGTTTTAAACCATGAAGGCGAGCCAATGGATATCACACACAAGCAACGTACGCAAGAGTTATGCCGGCGAACGTCTTAATCTCAGTCAATTCACTAAAGTTACAGAAAGTGAAAGTAAAAACGGAATGACGGAGTTATGACGGAGCTTTCTGCATCTGACGCCGCATATTCTCTCAGACACCAATCTACTTCAACATATGCAGATAACCGTATATAGCTAACTGTTTTTTTTATTCCCTTAACATTTCTAATATTACATAGTGAAAAACAAAATGAGAAGAAACATATTTCGTGTTAAACAGGTTGTTTTTGAAAGTCGGTGCTTGAAATAAAAGCTTTTTATTGTATGATTTTACAAATAAAATCAAATGACAAAGATATCTGGTCAAACTTTCAATGAATACTAACTGGCCCACATTTCTTTATAAAGAAATCACACAAAAGGTTTTGCTTGTTCTAACTTGTTTAAATAATTTGTTTATTGACAACAAAATGACAGGGTGGACAAATGCATTAATGGGTGAAGAGAACATCAGATAAACAACAGGAACAACAAGAAACCCTTAAGTAACATAAAGAATGATTTCAGAAATATATATTCTACACTGCAACTGTAAATTGTAAATTAATTTAAAAGGGCATTTTTACATTTATAAGGCCATTTTTTCTTACCTTATTAGATATATGCATGATATTTTGTCAAATTCTTACATTTTAATCAATAATTTAAATTAGAATAGTAAGACACTATGGGGCTGTTCCAAAATCAAATGAAATCATTATATATATATTCACTGAGTTAATCGTAGAGTACGTTAGTTAATATAAGAAGAAACGTCTAGCTCTGCGGTCTCTCTCTCTCTCTCTCTCTCATTTGGATGCACCTCTTGCCGCATTGTTTCTCTCTTATAACCTCATTATTTCTCACTAATAACCTAACTGAAGCAGCACATGCCCTTGAAACCAATTCTAAAAGTGTCGCATGTTTAACTGTCAACTTGAGCTTTGAATCCGTGGCGGAAGGAAGTAGTTCCACACAAAAGAGGGTTTTATTAGGCACTCAATTTTTTCTTGTTTAATTACATGCATGTTCCGTCGAAATGTTGTATAAACGCAATATCACTCGAGTACGAGATGTGTATATATATATAATATTAATTTCCACAGACTATATACACTGCACTTAGAATTGCATAAATAATGCTATGAGATTAATGGGGTTTAAATGGGTATTAATGTTTTTTTTTTTTTATGTAATATTAAATTATGAAATTAATAAAAAAATTAAATTATTCTCTAAATATGAAACTAAAGCTGCTCACTAGATTTGTTAAAAACACGGATTCATTCAGTAACGAAACACCGCTTTGTGTTGCTCAGAGATGCACAACAGTTTCACTGTGGATTTTTTGGAACTATTTTCTTTGGACAAATAGAACGAAAACAGACATTTCATTTATTTATTATTATTATTTTTTTTATTGAACTGTTGTATAAAGTCAATATCACATTTGCAATCGAGCAGATATTCAGGAAAATGGCACTTTTGCTTTGGGCATTTTTTGCCAACTTATCTTCAATGTTAGGCACATTCTAACTGCATTCATCACAGTGAGTTGTTGCCTTTCATCATGTTCATCACTAAGCAACTGCATGCAATGTAAGATAGCATACAGTCCTGGGCTGGGGTGCATTAAATGCATTTATCAATTCAACATTTTTTCCCCCATAATTAATCACACCAATTTAACATGTTAAATCAATAGCCTTTGTTAAAACATTATCAGAATTTTGCAAAAACTATGCACATGTCCCCCCTGTCATGGAAGGCTTGGTGACAGGGTGGACATTTTTTGGATAAGTTTCTGAAAAACTTTTATGTAAATTAAAATTTTACAGGGTGGCAACATGCAACTACAAACACAATATGATGAAAATTAGGAAATATAAGTGTAGATACTTAGTGTACTTGCAGCAGATGTTTTAACCTCCACTGAAGAAAGGCAAAATGGGGGTGGAGATTTCACTGAGTAGATCAGAGGGTTTCTTAAAGGGGCATTTATAACATCATGACAGGGTGGACAGCAAGTTCAGGGACACATGCAAAATTCTTAATATTATTATGAAAATAGAATATAAATGAACGATCTAACTTGTTTTATTAACAACTGGCTGAGGGCAATATGAATATTTAAAAACTATTTCAATATTGTGATATTTAACCACTTTTTACACTCATTGAAGTTAGCTGAGCTGCATGAGGGACATGCCAAAATCACACACATCCAATCAAAGAAAATGGTATAAAATTAGAAAAATAAATTTCAAGAGACTGTAGTTGTAGTTATACGTGTGCAAATGTTTGGTCATTTATCATATAATTTCAGAATTTCATTATATTGTATTATGTTCATGATGACTGAGTGATTCTGATGAGGACACCAAAGGCACTTTACGGTGATCTTGATCCATATATTCAATTCAATTCAAGTTTATTTGTATAGCGCTTTTCACAATACAAATCGTTGAAAATCAACTTTATAGCAAATTAAGTTTCTACAATATTTAGTAGTAGCTTATCAGTGGTGACCAATGTTCCCTCTAAACTGCGCGCCAGTATATAATGTGCCACGCACACGCAAAAATGCACTTAAACTGTCAGATACACACAAGTTTATGTTAAAACACACACATGAGTTACAAAAACAATCGGTTATGTCTGTGAAGGTAAACAGTTGTAAAAAAAATTGCATGTTTATATTAGATCTGTGTGGCAGCAGCGTAATATACAGTAAATAAATCAATAAATCCACTCTCACCATTGAGCAACATGTTGTTTAATTGGCACATTTTCATGTTTTTCAGCGATGATTTTGTGCCTGTGAATGGGAGCTGCACTATCAAAGCGCCACAATCCTGGTGCACAATGGAGCCAGAGGATATGGATGTGATAATGTCCTTTGAAACTAACTGCTCTATCATAGTAACACAAATGGCCAAACAAGGCAATATGGAGACCCCAACAAAGAGTCACTCTGAAAATATTGTTTTATACAAATCTGGTATGTCCCGATATCTACTTGGTGTAAACGTCATATCCACCTAATTTTTAACGTAAGAGCGTGGGTGGGCTTTTGTAACTTGAAGACTTCCGGTGTCGTTCGCTTCAGGTTATTTTAGCAGCACAAAAACAATGTTATGCTGCTGTATATAGCAAACCGCTATTTCCTATCAAACTATTTTACCGTATTGTCGTTATAAACATACTGGTAAAAAATGTATAGCCTGAATGCACTGTAAGTCGCTTTGGATAAAAGCGTCTGCTAAATGCATACATTTATTTATTTAATTCATTTATAAATGCACTGCAGGGAGTTTTACAGTTTACTACACTTTGCTATTCTTGTAGTGGTTAATGAATCATAAGTCTTGTATGTTCACAAAAAATAGCTCACTTCTGCTTTGCATAATAAGGTGGATACAGTGAGATCCAAATGTTCAAGAACACCAATGCTTAAAGATTTTATCATTTTAATGTAATGATTGTCAAAATCTCATAGTATTTGGTTTATCCTCTTTTTCTCAGTTAGTGCCAAACCTGATGATCATGTTCTCCAGCATGATCTGATCCAAAGAGCATCTTGAGCTTTAATGAACATAACCTTTTTAAAATCCTAAAACATTTTGGTTGAAATGAGATCTTGGTACAAGATTTTTAATGCGACTTCAGGCTTTTTGGATCCCACTGTAATTCAGTGTCTTGGTTATTTGTGTACAATGCACTAACATTGGTTTTCTTTTCGTTTCATAGTTAAACCAAAACAACCTTTCAACCTAACCATGACAAAAATTGATGGGGATTTTAACCTCACTTGGGATGTGGCTTATGCAGAACACTTTCTGAATAAAAAATTATACTACAGAGTACGATTACAAACTAAAAGTGACCCAGATAAGGTAAAACTCATTTGTTCTGTCTGTCTGTCTGTCTGTCTCTCTCTCTCTCTCTCTCTCTCTCTCTCTCTCTCTCTCTCTCTATCTATCTATCTATCTATCTATCTATCTATCTATCTATCTGTGTGTGTGTGTGTGTGTGTGTGTGTTATTATATTATGTATAAGATAAAATCACACCTATGTTGCTGAGTTTAGCTGACATTTTTCTGAATACCATGTGATGCTTCCTCAGATGCCACAAATTTACACCCTGCAGCAGAACCAACAATCAATGGTTCTCATTAGTGAAAAACTCCTGCCAGGAAGGCAGTATGTGGCAGAAGTTCAGGTTGCAGTGCATCCTTCAATTTTTACATCCATGTGGAGTGAATGGAGCAACAGTGCTGAATGGACATCTGACTCTCCATCGTCAGAATAGTGCTATTTCCTGCTGTTTCCTGGTGCTGCTTGTGTACACTGAGAACCCTAATAAGTTGACTGAACTAAATTGATTGAGTAAACTCGTTGTCTCAATTTAATTGAGTAATGGAGTTCCCCAAAACTTGCATATTTAAGTTCATTAAACTTGGCGGTTTTGTAGACTATACTTATATCGTTAAGTTCACCAAACTTGGCGCTTATTTAATGTACTTAAATGATTATGTTCACTTAACTTGGTATTAATTTCAAGTGTACTTATATTTAAGTTAACTCAACTTGGAAATGTAACTGAAACTGTCGAATGATGTTCTTATTTTTGACTTGCAAGCTTTGTGCACACCAAACTGAAATAAAACAATGAACAGCATATTTAATCTTTGACTTTTTATTGACAATGTCACAATATTAATGCAAGTACAGTAAACACTATACTGTAATGGAAATGGGTCACAGCCACACTGTAAAGGTGGTAACAAAATTAACTAGTGCAGTACATCAATTGTACAAATCTATGCACATATATACTTATACATATATACTATATACTTATACATATAAACTACAGGAGCAAGGTGAGCCGCCTGGCCGGGTGGTGCAGTGACAATCTCTCTCTGAATGTGGAGAAGACGAAGGAGATTGTTGTTGACTTCAGGAGAGTGCGCACTCAGCATGCTCCTCTGACCGTCAATGGTGTGACTGTGGAGAGGGTGAGCAGCACCAAGTTCCTGGGTGTGCACATCACAGAGGATCTCTCCTGGACTGACAACACCGCAGCACTGGCCAAGAAAGCACAGCAGCGTCTCTACTTCCTCCGCAAACTAGTTCACCAAACTTGGCGCTTATTTAATGTACTTAAATGATTATGTTCACTTAACTTGGTATTAATTTCAAGTGTACTTATATTTAAGTTAACTCAACTTGGAAATGTAACTGAAACTGTCGAATGATGTTCTTATTTTTGACTTGCAAGCTTTGTGCACACCAAACTGAAATAAAACAATGAACAGCATATTTAATCTTTGACTTTTTATTGACAATGTCACAATATTAATGCAAGTACAGTAAACACTATACTGTAATGGAAATGGGTCACAGCCACACTGTAAAGGTGGTAACAAAATTAACTAGTGCAGTACATCAATTGTACAAATCTATGCACATATATACTTATACATATATACTATATACTTATACATATAAACTACAGGAGCAAGGTGAGCCGCCTGGCCGGGTGGTGCAGTGACAATCTCTCTCTGAATGTGGAGAAGACGAAGGAGATTGTTGTTGACTTCAGGAGAGTGCGCACTCAGCATGCTCCTCTGACCGTCAATGGTGTGACTGTGGAGAGGGTGAGCAGCACCAAGTTCCTGGGTGTGCACATCACAGAGGATCTCTCCTGGACTGACAACACCGCAGCACTGGCCAAGAAAGCACAGCAGCGTCTCTACTTCCTCCGCAAACTGAGAAGAGCCAGAGCCCCGGCCCCCTCAAGTATCACAATTATGTTAATGTAAACATAACTATTCAATTTGACCATTTAAGCTTTGTGCAAACATAGCGAACTAAAATAAAACATACTCAACATATAGTGTATTTCACCAAAGTTTCACCTAAACCGTTTTTACAGTATTACAGTACAAACTATACTGTAGTGGAAATATTACTGGGTCTGTAAAGGTGGTAACAACAGTAAAAATGTTCAACATTAACTAGTGCACTTACATAAATTGTACAACTCTGTGCACTTAATTACACTTTTTATGCCTCACAATTGTTAATGTACAGAACATGTAGGCTAAATATAAGAACTACATTCTTACTACATTTCACCATTAAAGCTTTGTGTAAACACAGCAAACTAAAATAATACATACTGAACATTTTCAGTGTCTTTGGCCCAAATGTCACTATTACAGTACAAACTATACTGTAGTGGAAATATTACTGGGTCACAACCACACTACAGAGGTGTAAAAATATCCCAAATTAACTACTGCACATCAATTGTAGAACTCGGTGCATTTAACAATTTTAACATACTTTTTGTTCTTCATAAATAAATAATGGAGTAAATCGAGGGAGAAAAACCCAAAACAAAGGGTGGTGTTGAAGTATCACAGTGACGTTTCTTAAGCAAAAAGCTGGTTTGCCAGAGACTGCACTCTAGGCTTGAGAGCATTCTGTCCCATTGACATTAGTACACGCTGGATGAAATCAAACGTGTTGGCAAGTGATTTTGGGTAATTCAGGTCTAGTGCGGAAATCAGACCGAAGAGAAGACAGATTGCCTGTAGGAGGTCCTGCATTTTGTCCATCACCACTTGGCCTTCAAGAATTATTCCAATCGAAGTAGTCAAATGCAAAGAGTTGGGGGGCTGAAGATCAGTATCCTCAAATAAGATCCCCACTGGCACATCAAGGATAGTGTTGCGATGATCAGACACCTAGTGAAAAAAAACAGGTATAAATATAGTATTGTGATCAGGAATCAAAGGTTTATCGTCAATGCATGCTTTTCAGAATGCGCACTAATTTTATTAAAAAAACAAATCACTAACCCTAATCCAACATTATATTGACATGTATACATTTGAATTTATGTAAATGTAGATGCTTTGTGCAAAGAATTTGGTATACACTTTTTAAAGTATACATTATAAATTAAGTTTATTATTTTGAAGACTTGTACAAAAGAGTTGGCCACATTTGTATATTAAAGGAATACTTCACCCAAAAATAAAAAATGTACTCACACTCATGCCTTTAAATATATAGATGAGTTTGTTAAAAGCCTTCTGAATTGACTCAATGGGTTTTGGTAAGAAAAATATTCATATTTCAAACTTTTTAAAGTAAAATAACCAGCTTCCGGTGGACCGTATTCAACTTACAGAAAAAGTGCAAGTGATGTGGCGTATGATATAGGATGTACCTTAAGTGTTTTGCACTGCGAGAGGTGTTACACTTCGTAAGTTGAATATGGAAGGTGGTCAGCCGGAAGCTAGATATTTCACTTTACAAACAAAGTTTTAAATATGGATATTTTTCTTACACAAACACATTGATTCACTTCACAATGCCTTTATTAACCCCCTGGAGCCGTGTGGAGCAGTTTTATGACGGATGGACTTTTTTGAGCTTCAAAATCTCATCCCCCATTCACTCCCATTATAAAGCTTGGAAGAGCCAGGATAAATTTTATTATAAATCTGATTGGATGGCTTGAGGGTCAGTAAACCATGGGGTAATAATTTTTGGGTGAACTATCCCGTTTAAGAACAGATGTACTTACTAAACATGACTTGAAGAAAGAGGAGTCTTCATCTCGAGCATGATAGGCAGTCCTCGAAAAACAAGGGTTCTGACCTCAGTTGGTTGGTCTGACTTTAGAGGAAAACATGAAATTCTATTAATGCCAGAAAAACTCACTATCAATCTATTTTAAGCATTGTTATGAGAATATATTATTTAAATTAAGACTACCATATCATATATACTATCATGCATAACAGATTACTGATATGAAAATATAAATTACATAAATTACATGTTGACAAAATGAAATACTTTTAAAGGGATAGTTCACCCAAAAATACAAATTCTGTCATCATTTACTCACCCTAAAGTTGTTCCAAACCTGTATACATTTCTTTGCTCAGCTGAACACAAAGGAAGATATTTTGAAGAATGTTTATAGCCAAGCAGTTTTGGGGCACCATTGACATGTACATACTAAAAATAAATACTAAGGAAGTCAATGGTGCCCCAAAATTGTTCGGTAAGTAAATGAGTAAATGGTGACAGAATTTCCATTTTTGGGTGAACTATACAGTTACCTTCAAGTTATGTTAAATAAGACAAATAATTACTGACCTTTATTTGCTGTAAAAAGTTCAATGAGTGCTGACCAGGAGTTCCCCATATGGTTTTAAAAAGGTTCATGAACCGTGAACTGTGTCTGTCCAGGTTTTCGTAGAATTCCTGTTTTCGATTTTTGCCCGTAATTCTGTTGAACTCCATGCAAACCTGGGGGGAGACAAGGCCAGGTCACATAGACTTTTACACAGAAATGCTTTACAGGCTAAGAAATAATTAGAAAAAAAAATTATTAGAAAAAAGGCTAACAAATAATAGGAATAGACCACTAAAAAATGAAAATGGTCATTTACTCATGCTCAAATTGTTGTAAAACGGCATGATTTTATTTATTTAGCTGAACACAAAGATGATATTTTCAAGTATGATGCTGTGTTAACGGATTGGCTACCTCAAAGTCATCAACATAGAATCCTAGAGCTATTCGAAAGTCTTCACTGTTGAGAAGGCTATTGTCTTTGAAGTAGTGACCATCATTGTAAGAACTGTACATAATGGGTTCAGATTCTGGCACTGGAAGTGCTTTGTCCAAAATGTCTGGCTTGTTGAACATTTTCTGTAGCATAGGCAGAATTGGTACATATACAACAGGTTTTGTTTCCCTATCAATCATGTATTCTACTGGCATAACCAAAGGAAACTCAGCTAAGACATAGGAGTTTCTTCTTTTAATTGACAAGCATTCACCAGAGTCACAGCATTTGGAAAAAACATTGCTTTCTGAAACAGCGTTTACCACCGCTGCAATAAGGGACTCATCAGCATCTGGAAGGCAGCTCTTCAGGACACTTGAAATAGTTTTTTTCAACAGTGGCAGAGACAATGTATGTATCTGATTCAATTGCTGAATGATTTCTTGAATAGAACTTGCCGGAATATGAAGAAGGCTTTGCATCTTTAAAAAATGGCCAGCCAAATTGTGTTCCAACTGATTTGCTAAATCAGAATGAGTGACATCAGCAGAATCAGTCGAGTCACCTTCATTATCCTCCATTTCAATCTCTTCAAAAGAAATCTGTTCTTGTCCTTCACTCTCATTCGCAACACTTTGGCCAGAAACTACAGTGGGGGAAAAAAAGTATTTAGTCAGCCACCAATTGTGCAAGTTCTCCCACTTAAAAAGTTCTGGCTTTAGCATTCTCCAGTCATGTCCACTATGTTTCTTACTTATATGTTTTTTAAAAGTCGCATAAACACTGCTTTGAAACTTGCAATGTTTGTAGGGACACTGTATCTTTTGATTTTTACTCAAATGTCTACTACGCAAGTGTTTCATAAAATCTGTTTCTGGGCCGGGCTTAGAAAATTCACAATGCAAATAAAAAAGTAAATGTAAGTGGTGCTATTTCTTGATCGTGTCCCTATCGTGTTTTTGTATGAATTTTTGCTAGATGAACTTTTAAACTACTAATGGAGTTGAACATACAAAGACGGTCATTGTGTAGGCATGGAAAAGGTACAGTTTTTGTATGACCACCATGTTTCAAACGATAATGTTTGAGAGTCAAAAATACAATACTTAAATTTCTACATCTCCTTGTCTCATGTCACCTGTAACAGAAAAAGTTGAAAATATTAAGTTTAACAAAGTCAGTGCAAAAACAAAGAAAATTACATTATAA